GGTGGGGGGATGATGCCCCAAGGTGTGATGGTGCTTCCCCGCAGACAGAGTCCAGGAGGAATTCCTGGAGCTGCTGGAGCTCCTGGTCTCCTGCGCTCGCACCTATGTTGCCTCGCTGGCCGCCATGGAGGAGTTCCACCTCAGCCTCTCGCAGTGCGTGGTCCTGCGCTATCACTGGATAGACCCCTTCGTCCGCTCCCTCAAGCAGCGCCTGGCTCCCTTCCACAGGTAAGGACAGCCCCGCACACCCTGCCCTCTCCCCCGGCGTCCCAGCCTCACCAGCATCCGCACCCCGGTAAAGCCCTGGGGAGTTTTCCTCTCCACTTCGGGATCCAGCACTGGACAAGTCAGGTCTCTCGGCTTTCAAGGACGAGGCCAGAGCTATGCCATCCCATAAACCATGGGTGGTTTCATTGCTTACATCTGGCTCAGGCGCCCACTGAGCATCAGCTGCTTCAGGGCTGCTGTTGCTGTCAGGGCTTCAGTGGGGAATAGATTGATTTGAGCCCAGAAGGGTTCTGGTTGCACTGATTCAGTCCACTTGCAGCATGCATTTGCTTTTATGTTTCCGCACCTTGGCAAAAATCCTGTGTGTGTCCCCCCATTTTCTGGTGGTTTGTTGTTGTTTTTTTTAAATCCTGTTCTTCCCCCCTGCCCCCAGCTGAAATAGGATCTTTCTTATTTCAGGTTCTTCTGTGTGGCTGACCAAGTGAAGGTTTACACCAACCAGAACAAAACCAGGTGAGTGAGCAGTGGGGCAGCCTGCCTGCGGAGAAGGCTGGGCAAGGCACTGAGTGGATGGGAAGTTTCACCCTGCCTGTCCCACGGTGACTGGGCTGAGCCATGTGATGGGGCAGTGTGCGATCCCCTTGTCTCCAGAGGTTTCCTGCCTTTCCCCGGCCACTTGCACAAATTTTTAGCTTCACTGCTGATTCTCTGCAAGCCATTGGTCTTGTTAGCAGTGGGTGAACCTCAGGCTGCAGGATTTCAGTCTCCTGGAGAGAGGATATCTGTTCGCAACATGACCTGAGGGCAGGTCTTTCTGCTGGGGTTTGATTCGTGCTACAGTTTCACAGCAGCTACCAGAGGCAGCCACGTTCACTTCCATCTACCATCTGGTTTGTTCTGCGGTTTTGCAAACCCTTGCACCAGCATGAGCAGCCTGGGGCAAGCAGAGCTGGGAACCACCTCTTTTGGCAGCAGTGCCGATTGTGAAATTGCAGTGCAGGTCTTCTAAGAACTGGAGAGAAAGAGCTCACAGGGTGCTAATTCTCTTGGGTGTCAGCTCAGAAGCCTGATTCCAATTGAACACAATTAAGTAGTTTAAATGTCAAAGCAAAGGTGATTAAAACTGTGAAATGTTGCTGAATCTAGCAGGAATAATCCTGGGTGAGACTTAGTCTTCCCCTCTCCTCCTCGAGTCTGGAAAGCGTCATCCAGACAGTCCTTGAGGAGGTACCTCTGTCACATCTCTCCAGCTTGGTACTTCCCGTTCCCTGCTTCCCCTCCTGCTGTAAAACCCTTCTGGCAACTTCCGCTTTTTGAGTGCAGCTCCTGCATGGGTACTGCGCTCTGCTGAAATACCCTTTGAGTCCATCCTTTGCCTGGAAAATGAGTTTTCATGTCCCAAAAGGTGCTGAGTTAATCTAGTAAAATCTACACGGTATATCATCCAGTCCTGCTTCTCCCTGCTACCACGTCTTTTCTTCAGAATACAGTCATCGTCCTTGAATGCTTAAACCTGGCATTCCTCAAATTAGCTTTTGTTGGTGGGTAGGGAATGTGCTAGGTAGGAAAGCAGGGCTAAGTATGCTTACAGCAGTGCTTTTTGCAGCATGAATGGGTGCTTGCTGTCTCTCCTTGTCTTTCTTTAGGACCTTTATTGGCTTGGAGGTCTCTGCTGGGCATTTCCAGCTGCTGGAGCTGGTCTCGGAGGTGGACAGAGTTCTGGAGGAATTTGACCTTCCCACATTCTACAAGGTGAGGGGTCTCCCAGTTACTTCCCTGCTGGTCTGGATATGCCATCTGGTTCCTTGTGAGGGGTCCATGAAATGGTTCACCCCAAATACAGAGGAGTGAGGAGGTTAGACTCTGAAATGGGCTTCTCTAGGCCAGTCGGTGATGCTCATATTTAACACCCTGACACGATCTTGCTGAGAATGGGACTTGTGCAAGTCTATGACTTCTGCATCACATCCTGTGCAGGAGACTAGGGATGTTATCTATCTGGTGGCCTCTTGAGAATTGGATTTCTGAGGTGAAGGGCCAGAGCATATGTCCCAGTCGCTGCCCTACTGTGTGTGGAAGCAGGGTTGTCCATTGAATGGACGTAGGGTGAACATTGTGGGTGATGCTCGTGCCTCTTGGGAAGTTTCCTGGGGCATCGGTCCAGCCTCTTTGCTTGGTACTAGCTTTGGTTTTGGATTTTGAAGGGCCAAACCTTGATTTCTCTGTCTCCAGAGTTGACCAGGGGGCTTCTGTGGGTTATTCAGAAGTGACCCACCTACCTGCTCCAGGACCATTCGTGAGAGGTTCTCTGCACAGTTGAAAAAGCTTCTGCAGAGCTGACTGCAGGGAGGCTGGGAACCAGGCAGCCTTGCCCACTGGTGTCCAAAAAGGCTGGAGTGGGGAGCCTAGGACTCATCTTGCTCCAGCACTGCAACTGCTGAGCTGGTGGAGGGGGCTCTCAGCTTTGGGATCCTCCTACCTCTGCCATCCCAGGCAGGGCAGCATCACACCAGATCTCCTGCTGCGGCTCCATGCGTTGAGCAAAGCCCTCATGATCTGATCCCTGTTTTGTCTTCAGGACCCGTCGTTCCATATCAGCTTGGCCTGGTGTGTCGGGGACATGTCCGACAGGCTGGAGGGGCAGTGTCTGCAGGAGCTCCAGGTGCGTCCCCATGCAGCGTGGAGAGCAGGGGGAGAGCTGAGCTGATGTCTAGCCACGTCTCCCTGCTGAGGGTGGGGAGCGGGAAAATCTCTTCACTGAGCAAGACAAACTTCACTGGGTTGAAAGAAGAGAAGCTTTTGGGGGGAGCATGTGTTAAATAACCCTCCAGAGGCTCCCAGCTGCAAACAGCCTCGTCTCTGACTTGATTCAGAGCGGGACCTGCCAACTCCTTCCTCTGGCAGATCCACTCTCCTTGTGCTGAATCTTGTGTCTGTTTTTCCAGGACATCGTGGACGGGTTTGAGGACTCGGCGTTCCTGCTGCGTGTCCAGTGGGAGCAAATCCATTGCAAGTCGGGGAACAAGTACTTCTCCTTCCCCTTGAGGTAGGGGCCAGTGGGGCTGTGCATTTCAGAGCCTCAAAGACCCTTCTGTTCAACCAAGGAGCGTTCCCCAGCACGGCTCTGAGTGTTGCAGGCTGTCACGCATCTCCCACGCTCTTCTTGCCTGCTCAGCATCTCTGGGGTGTTTGTGGCCTCACGTCGGGCTACTTCCAAGTTTGAGTTGCTGACTGAAGAAATGTACGTTTGTAGCAGATTTCATCCTTGCCGCTGTATGTGCTGCAGTCAGCATTGGTGGTTCCAGCCATCCCACGGTTGCTAATTTTGCTGATTTAAAAAATAAACCAAAAAAACAACAACAAAAAAAACCCACAAAACCCAAAAAACTCTATATAAGCCATAGATGCCTTACGGGAAGGAGGAAGAAAGTAGCGTGGGAGGCTGTTGTGAAAGGGAGGGTGTCTCGCACGTTTGGAAATGTCGCTGCCTGATTTTCAGGAGGCTCTGAGCATGCTTTGAGTAGCAGGAGGCGAGGATGTGGAGCTGGACTCTCTCACCAAAGCAGCTCCCTACAGTAAGCCAGGACGAGTTCCTGAGTCATGTTCCACGTCCCTCTCACCCTGCTGCTGCCTCTGTAAGGGAAATTTCAGTGTCAAATCCTTTCACCAAACAGCAAAAGATGAAATCTGGAGTGGAAAGGTTGGAAACCCCCTTGTGTTTCAGTGCTCCAGGCTGGGTCTAAAACACGATCTTTGGTTTAAGATTGTGGGTGCCATAAGCCCAGGACTTCTTTTGGGGGGGGGGGGGGGCGCCTGCTTCTCCCGAGAAGCTTGCTGCTGTGCGTGGGCGAGCCCGAGACAGGGCAGCGTCAGCTTTTGCCTGAGCTGGAAGGGCCATGCGCAGGGGTGAGTCAAGGGGGTGGCAGCTCCTCCCCCCGGCTCCACACTTTTTCTGTGTGGGAACAGCATCCCCAGTGCCGTGATGACCCTGGGGACCATACGTTGTCCCTTGGGAGAAGCTCCTTTTTAATCCTTTTTTTCCTGCCGGGAGGGTGGCAGCAGCCTCTTGGGAACTGGGAGCAGGATGCCGATGTGCTGCCCTGGATCTTTCATTACGCGTCTGTCTGTTGAAAGACTTGGGGACTTCTGAGCAGTAAAAATCTGTCTCCTCGTGTCGTAAAATTGTTTCTGTGGTATATTTCAGCCACTCCCTTTCAGCCGTGCCCAGCTCCTGCAGACTTCAGACGAGGTGATGCCTGCAAGAGCTTCCGTGAGCTCGTGCTGCACTGCCTCTCCTTGCACAGTGAGAGAGACCAGGGCCCTGGTGGCCGTGGAAGCATCTCGGCACAGGTCGTGGTGTCTGCCAGCAGCCAGGCAAGGGCTGCATTGGCTGTATTTCAAAACCCTTAATGAAACACTGTTAAGTCTGTAACCGGTTAGTTTCTGGGATGGGGAGCTGTGTGATAAGGCGTGTGGTTACAACCCCGAGTTTTCTTTTGGGGAAGGAAAAGCAAACAAAGAGGGATATATTTAGCCCCTGGAGACTTCCAGTGAAACTGGCTCTGGCACGACTGGTTTCGCTGTGGTCCGAGTCCAGCAGTGCCAGGTTAATGCTCAACCAGTGGCCCCTCTCCCTCCCTGCCAGGGCCTGGCTTGGCACGTGGCCCTGTTTTTTCACTAGGTGGGTGTCAGGGACCCAGGGGACGGGGGCAGGACACAGCCGGGCTGGGTGGCAGGACTGTGGGGACAAAGTCGGGGGACAGCCGGCTGCTGGTGTAGCCTGAAATAGCGGGTGTGGCAGGACGGGGGGTGCACGGGGTCTGGTCTGCGTGTGACGGGCCGTGGCTCTGCCCGCGGCCACCCGTGGGAGCGCGCCGCGGCCCCGCCCCTATAGCGCTGGGGCCCCGCCC